TCATTCAAGAATTCAAAATTTATGCTTGCTTACTCAATTTTCGGGTGACGTTTATTAAACTTAAAACAATATCTTGTAATTTCAATATGTTAGACTAGTTTTATATATTATTATGATGAAATGAACCCTTGTTATGATATTTTTAATTTTTAATTAATTATTTAGACTTTAATTTGGTGATTTGTGAATATTTATTATCATATTTATTATTCATTTCAATTGCTCGATTACCAATTGAATTGTTAATGAATTTTATTGTTAGCGAGAGAGACAATACGATTTAAGCAAAATATAATAAACATTATAAGGTTCTATAGAGGATAAAGATATACATCTATGCTTTATATGATTTTAATAGATGTTCTAGCAATTGTTAATGCATTTGCCATGTTTGTATCTTTCATTGGGAGATAGAAGGATCACCTAAAGGAAATATATTTGATCGCTAACGAGAAAGACTTTCAATTAAATTAAGAACATTGACAAACATGAATGATTCTAAATTGCCACTTTAATTATTACGCTAAAAATGGAATAATAAGGGGGACTCGACATCATAGCAATGCATATCACATATTTAAAAAATATGTTTACCTGATTTCACTAGTTTAATTAATAATTTAGGAATTAGTATAGAAAAATCATAACTTATTTGCTATTCGATTAAAGTTACAATTAATTTTAACTCGATCAAATGCAAGTTCTCTTGAGTTCGACACTTTATTCATTTTTATATAACTTGAGAACTATTCCATGCATTGACGAGTTTTCAGAGGGCTAACCGTAAACATTAATGCTGATCGTACTACCATCGGGGGTATAACCAGCAAAGCCCTACCCTAAATATAATTGTTGCATTGTTGGAAGGGAAAAATTCAGTTTTCCTACTTTAACTTTACCCTATTTCAAAAATAACAAAACAACTTTCACATTTCAAAAATCAGAAAATTTGACCTATACACACACACACACACATATATAGATATATAAAAAATTAACCCACCGCCACCTCTACCACCCCTATCACTCCAGGGACCGCTCCGGCTCCGACGACTGCTCCGACGACCGTTCCGACGACCATTCTAGCGACTATTCCGATGATCGTTCCAACGACTGCTTATCTGTTGTATGGT